AACGCGAGTTTTGCACAATATTAAGTTTAACAGTCTGCGTGATTTTTCCCTTTTCGCAATAAACCTTTATATCATTCGCCGATCCAATATTATATTTATTTATAATAAAATATTATGATATTCATCATAAATATCAGTTTAGTTAATATTACAAGAAAAATTACTCACAGTGCCCAGACATTATTTATTTCTATTTTCAATTCATAAAATGTATCCTGGATTTTATTTATTTATTATTAATAATTTTAATTTGATACAATAATACATTCATTAGTTACGATTGTTGAATAAAGTACAATTTGTCGGGATTTAGCTCTCTAATATTACAAATTGTGATAATAACTTACGAGCATCAAATATCTTTATTCCTTTATAATTATCTTTCCAAGATTCATTCGGAGTAACTTTGTAGGCAATCGTAATAAACAATTTTCATATATTTGCGAATCTACTATAAAATATAAAGATATAAAAACGTTTATTATTTGCAAGAATTCATGCACAAATTGATTTTTAATTTAAATCAATGTCAACATTTAAAGTTAAATCCTCGAATTATTGTTGCCTTACACATTAATAATATTGAGTCTTCACTGTACAATGGCACCGCTGTGATTTCGAATTCTATTTGAAGTTCTCGGAATAGAGTCAACATTGCAACATTAACTCTATTAAGATTTCATTCTGAATATCGTAACTTCGTACTATGCGCACCTGACGGTTCTTGACTTTTTCCCCTAAATTTCTGTGCATTCGAGACAATTGCTTAAACTTGTGTTTACCAGGCTTAAAGTTTTAAGATAATACAGCTCGAAGCAAAGATGAATAATTACGAAGTATTGATCATAGTACTGAATTACCGAATACATAAATAATCAATCGTCAAGAAATAATAAATTTAATAATAACGTAAAGATTGTGAAAATAATATTCCACTTTTTCAACTTGGAAAACTTATTGCTACTTAAACCATACATAATGTATATAAAAAAAATAATTATAATTTACAAACAATATGTTTGTTGAATAGTTAATCGTCACGTATAACTCTGGAATTAAAAAATATCAACAATTAAGAAACATAGTAAGTAAAAAATTATATTATGAAATCGCTGTTGTTTTGTAAATATAAAACTATTAGATTATTTATTGTCATTTGTATGGCTTATGTATGTCAGCATACAGTTTTGCTCGGCAACTATTATATAACGACTATTCATAGTAAGAATAAAGCAAGATTCAGAGCATCAATAGCAAAAATAGAATATTCCAGATATGCTTTTCCCTTATTTTCATATTATGCTTTATTATAAAAGAAAATAATAATATAATTATAATAACTAAAATTAAACCAGAAAAATTATCGATAATATATTGGGTAAATTCATGGGTTACAGTAAAGAAATTAAAAAGTAACCATCGTACGTTTAATCTTTATTGTTTTTAGTTTTCATTAATTTCATTACAACAATCTTTAATATTATGGTAATGTTATAGTTACTCAAAATACTTAGACAATTCAAGAATTAAAAGGAAAAACTATTGTATCCATTAAAATTTAACAATTGTCTGTGATTCTTAATAAAAAAAAAATAAAAATATGATTTCGTACGATAATATAATTTATAAATAAGCAAATATTGTTGAGATAAATTAATATATTTATTAATACATTTATTTTCAGCTTATTCATAATAATTATACATATAAAACAAATATGTTTTAATAATACGAATCAATGCAATGCGAATATAGATAAAAAAAATTTTTTTTTTCAAAAGGAAAGTATTAAAGTAATGAAAAATAAGCATTTCACACAATATTACATTAAATCTTTACTTATACGTAGTATAATATAGAATAATAAATATAATAATAGCACACTTTATAATTATTCATTAAGGAACTTAAGAAAATTTGTTTAAATTGTAAACAATAATATCTTCTAAATATTTTATATTATATATTAATCCACAGCATTATATTAATGAATGATATATGATATTTCATATAATAATATAATAATATCGTTTACAATTGTCTATTTAATTAACTTTATCGTTTTCTTGCAACTAAATAATTATTTTATGAATAATCTATTTTTATATATATTGTATTATAATTTGTATATTTGTATTACAAAATTTATATTACATTCGTACAAGAAAATCATGTAGATGAAAAAAAATTTAGTCATTTCATTATAGAAGAAGTAAATACTTCGATTGTAATTTAAAATCAAAATATGGAATCTTGTGCAAAGGAGTGAAGTAGCGAAACATTGAAAAATATTCGTTGTAACTGAATTATTTCACGATTTAAGCTTTGAATTTAACGCGTAATGCTATTAAAAATGTCCCTTTATTGTTAATGTAATCACTAAATCCAATTGAAAAAGGAGGTCTTATCAATTGTTTGATCATAGAAAGCCGCACAAAGTTTTACGTCCCTTTCTTTTTATTACAAAGTTACATTGGCCGTTGCCAGTTTTGAAATTCAAATCAGCAACATCATTATAATTTGAATTCAGAGTAAAACGTATATATGCTAAAAATTATCTTGGCAGAGGAATTTTAATTATCTCTTCCTTCATAAATTTCTAGATGTTTACTTTAAATGCACATTGTGAGAATGTAGCTTTAGCCAGTGTAGTAAACATATAATACGAACAATAATTATTCTTGAGCTACTTAAGTTGCAATCATTCTCTACCTACCTCTCTCTCTCTCTCTCTCTCTCTCTCTCTCTCACACACACACACACACACACACACACACACACACACACACACACACACAGCGTACCGTCTAACTGAATTATTTAGCAGAAAAAACGATCTTTCAATCGTGTAAAAATTTGCAGCGGAATAGTAATAATTACCGTTAGCGCCGCATTACCTCTTTTCTCCTTCGATGCTGATAATTTGTTAAAGTAAGCCATGTCGCTTAGCTTAATAATTCACTTAGCTTATTAATCTATTTTCTCTTCGATGTAAGGCTTTAAATATAGATAAAAAAAAAAAAAAAAAAAAAAAAAAAAATTCAAGACTCACAAGTGTTTAAGTATAAGTAAAGTGCTCGGGGCCACGTATAATCCAGTGGCGCCACATATATCGGCAAACATATTCCTCTAAATAAGAGTGTAAAGCCGCGAATATAATCAGTGACGTATGTATAATAATGAGAAAAAAATTCCAGAGAGCTATGACTATAGTCGGCGCTTGTAAGTGCATTAGGGCAAGACATGAAAGGTGCTTAGCTGAATAGGTGAGCGGCCGTAGGGTGGGTGGGTGGTGACGGTAGCTTCGACACTCGATCCTAGGATGTATAGTTTCAAGAGCCAGAGAACCCATCAACAGACTTCGAATACGTATAGAAAGCTCTACGATGTATGCCACCGCGTGTTCCTCCTCCTCTCGGACAGCGCCACGCGCCCTCCCGTCCACCACTTTTACAGGCCACTCGAGCGCAACAGGCCAGGCAGGCGCGCGCGGCCTCTCGGGCTCTTTGAGATTTCATGACATTATTAGGGATGTCTCTTGGTCCCGCGCCAATCACGACCATTGATAAGCCTGCGAACGATGGTATGCTTGGAAACGACATGGAACTACTGTCGGGCACCACCGCGCCTCCCACATCGTCGCATCGACGTTTCATAGGAACACTATCGCTGACCTATTCTTCCCCTTAGCTCATCCATTTATCTTATTGTTTTTTTTTTTTGTTTTTTTTTTGGTTTTTTAAACTTTACCCCTGACTCGAATTTGGGAGGTCGGTGCCTCTTTCAAAATATGGCGCTTTTTATTATAAACGTGATATGTACTTTGGACGGGTTGCTTAGAAGTAAGAGCTACTTGACACGACAGTGAAATAAAGCTGAAATAAATGACTGAATAAAGCTCGTCAGCGCTAGACTTCAGCGATCTAAATTCCGCAATAACTTACACGGAAGTTTAAAGTATATTGAATAAGCTTTGCAAGACGATTTTCCAATATTCGCTATTTTTCAACCTCGGCTTTCAAATAATTTCCATCATTTATATTTCCATGCAAGCCTGCAGAGGCCGTTTTATTGCCTTGATTCGTCGCCATTCATTATTCGACGATTAATTCGATATATTTTGTAGTAATTATAGTGGAGTCGGACCAAAATTACTTAATCACCGAGCTTGCCTGGACTATCTTGTAGATAATCTCGTTCACGATTCGGCAACTTTTTCCAATTCTACGAACGATCATTTTATCAATATCGCGTACTTAAAAATTTGTTAAAGAAAGCCATGTGTGTGTGTGTGTGTGTGTGTGTTGTTTGCTGATCGTTCGAGTAGTTTACCGTATGTTTAAAAAAAAAATATATATATATATATATATATTCATATTTTTGGCAAAAATAGCTTTAAATTAATAAATAAATTTGCAAATTTGAGGTGTTTTAATAGATCATATGTTAAAACTCTACGTCTATTTCTTGATAAATTACATTATATATTGGATTATATATTAACAAATTTTATGTAAATCAGCGTTCAATCTCTATAAAAATCTCTTATATATCTAAATAAATGCTTCTAAATACATTTTCTCAGTATTCACAAAATACTGTGAACAATAGAGGTAAATAATGAAATTTAATGGGCAATTCGTTAAAAACAAAAAATCCCAACGAAACAAACTACTGAAGCATCGAAACGACTTAATTGACGGATTCATTATTCGAGATAACATGAGAAATGAGATAATCACGCCAAGTCTCTTGTCATTTATAATCGGCAAAGCGTGACAATCCGAATAAGGATAAAAAAGCTTATTTTTTGCGTCAGCAAACAGGAAGCCATAATCGCATATTGGTATGTAATATTGGCAAAGTAGTAGTGCCCTTACCCCCAATGGCCCCTGAAAGCGTCCCAGATTCGCGGTCGCGCAGGCTTACCTCCGCTTCCCGATACACGCATTCCGAAAATCCCATTTATTATGGAAGCCGGCGGAACCTGCGCCCGTTCGATGGCGTCGGGAGCCCTTCGATGCTATCGGGGTCAGCAACTGAGACCGCTGACACGAACGCGCAGCGGCTGCTTCGCCCAGCTGCCGCAGGAGGCGACGGTAGTGGCTGAGGCGGCGGTGGTGGCAGCGGTGGTGGCAGCGGTGGTGGCAGCGGTGGTGACGGCGGCCGGAGTCGAGGTGCCGAACCAGGTCAGCGCTATCCCGGCACTGATCGAAAACTGCCCGATTTTAATGATGGCCGGACGGTGAGGCGATGGGGATGGATGCATTGGGGGGGGGGGGGGGGGGGGCGGGGGGGGGGGGGGAGGATGCGTGACGAGATGAGAATTGGGTAGGACGAGGAGGGAAAGCGGACCTGTGAAACGTCGAGGATTTCAGGAAGGCTCGTAACTTTGGCCACGAACTTCTCGGATACGCTGGAGGAAGGGGAGCGCCGCGCTGCCAGCCTTCGCGGTCGACCTCATCTATTTTCGCTCGACGCGCGACTCCAAGAATATTTAAAGCGACGCCCTTGCCCACTTTCTTTCACGGCGCTCCTTTCAATACTCATTGGCACACTGTTGACTACTGACCTCTCGCTTACGAATCCTTAATGCCGGGTTTTCGATCTTGACGTACGTCGGATTCGCGGGAACTTGGCCAAACGATTTAATCTCTTTCTGACTGGGTTGACCTACTCGTCGACCCTTTTACACTCTACACCAAGCTAATGATTTGCCTTCACCGGCTTTGTATTATCCTCTGTGCGGTAACGGCTTATTTTAACGAGATATTAATGTAATGATAGTAGACAAAATACAGTCTCTAAGAAATAGAATGAGACAGTAATCGCTTAAAGCTGACTGGGCGTAAATAGCCTGTCTGACGTAGCATGTGGATTTTATTGAATTTAACTGTAAGTTTGAAATGCAAAATTTTGCCGCTTCAAAATAATAAGCGTAATAAGTAAGCTTGACTTGTCGGTGAAAGCAAGCTTTTCTTACTCGTCGGAGAAATACGAGCGAAAAAAACATTGTAATATCATGTAAAATGAGTATATTTTTCAGGAATACAATTTTACCGCATACGAATCACTTTGAATAGAAAAATTGAAAGGAGTAGCACTTGAAACGTAAATAAAGTTCCCAATTTTTAGCAAAGTTTTTATTGTTACTCTGCAATAATAAATATTCGTGTATATTGTTTATATTATACAGCTCGTGATTTTTGTATAAAAATACCGAGTTTACTTTTACATAAGCTATTTTCTTCTTCCTCGATTACAAGTTTTCCAAGATAATCAAGCATAAGTGTCTTAAAGGCAATTATTTTACTATCGATTCATCGATAATTTCGCAAAGAAGGGGGGGGGAGGGGGGTGGATGGACGAATGACGTAGAAGCGGCCGGGATCCAAAAGAGGGGAGATTGAGAGAGAAAGAGAGTGAGAGAGAGAGAGAGAGAGAGAGAGAGAGAGAGAAGAAAGGAAGCGGAAGCCAAAGAGACGAGCGACGTCCGTAGCACACAATTTTCTGGAGTCAGTGGTGGGAAAGCAGACACGAGTGACTCGTTCATTTTCCGACGATCGTAAAATCGCCTGAGGATAATTTCCACTTCGTGCATCCCTCGTCAATGCTCGTGTCGCAATCGAAACTCACGTCAACTGGTATTAATCGACACCAATGGCTCTCAATTCATAATAACCTAGTCCTCTCGTAACTTCATACCATTGATTTGTACCTGCGCGATCGTCTATCTCTCACAACTTCTTTGTCAAGTACTCGTGGAATTACTCTCTCACTACTCGATAAAACTCTAATGATTAGATAGGACCAAACGTTGCTGTATTAACAGCCTGACAATTAATATCTTTTAGGAGCTTTTACATTTGTTTCATTACTTTTCAACTTTAACTAGCGATTACTGCCTATTATAAGCAGTTTACGACAATATTGTAATTTTTTTAACTCGTAAGGTTCAATAATCTCTTAATAGTATTTATGCATGACTGAAGTAAATATTACAACTTAAAAAAAAACAGTTATTTGTAATTGACCCTAAAATTATTCTGTATTAAATATGTGACGAGTTTATGTCGCTTTTTCATTTACTTGAAGGTATAATAATAATGGAACACGTAACGTAATATTATTTTGTAAGAACGTAATATTATTTTGAGTATAAAAATGAAATTAAATGTAAGATTAAAGATTTTTTTTTTATTAAAATGTTAAATCATGAAACTGCTGCCATAAATCTAGATAATGAATTTACATTTGAGCATAAAATAACTACCTGATAGGATACATCAAATTTAAATTCCAACTTTCTCAAAAAAATCACAGTGAAAGCACGATGTGTAACTTGGTAACATAGAAGACACTTCTATAGTATAAATTTTAATTTATCTTTATAATTTGTATCCTACACTAACTCCGGCTTAACATATTCCTAAAAAAAAAAAACAATTCAAATTTTAAAAATGCAATAATTTACGAAACTGACACTCAAAGTACTTCGCACTTAATTGAACCAAGCCGTTCAAATTATATCTCGTTACCCTTTACAATTTTTCTAAATACCAACATTTCAATCTCCTAAATTTTAAATATCTAAATTTTAAGCTGAGTAAGAAAATTTTACTGGATTATAATTATTATACTTTCTTAGCAAATAATAATTTGCATATTAATAATAATAATATATGTGTTTGCCAAATATATCGAATATAATGAAATTTCATGTATAACAATGCACTTTTAATACACAACTTTCTTATTATGTAACACAAGCCCTTATTGTATTATAAAATTATTTATTTTTCATTGGCCGTTTAATTTCTTAAACTTATTACATTAGACGTTTTATTTATAAAACTATAAAAATGATATTCATTATGACTTTCAATTAATATATGAAAATCAATTTGTTTCAAGCTAAAGATATTATATTAACTTTTTTCATTAGATTTACACATATTCATAAAAGTTACTTCAATTGCGCAATAAAAATAAAAAACATTCTAAATACTAATTACGCCTCGGAGAATTAAATTTTTGGTATTTTAAATATACAATTATGATTCTAAGGAATAGTTTAATAAAAATCCATTTACTTTTAATTAATATCTTAAATGTTTACAAAATGTTAGTTTTTTTTTTTTAAATTAATTACAACAGTCGTTTCAAATCTAATTTTTTGCGAATTTCATGTAAAACTTGAAAACATAATAAATATGGAAACGTATAAAAAATATGTTTCAACGATAGATCGACTATCGTATCTAATTTCTTCTAGACAATTGTAATTTTAATTTGTGGACAATAATCCTTCGCAAATGTGTATAATAAACATTTATAATGGTGAATTGCGGAAAATAGAAAATGATATAGAAATTTAATGTTCCATAACTTTGGACAATCAACTGAATTAAATGAAACATAAACTACATTTACAATCACATTAGCATATCGTCAACTAAATTTCAATGGTAAATTGAAAAAGACCTCACCTAAAATAAATAAGATTACGTAGGAAACAATTTTACAGTTATATTTGATAATGAAATGTGTAGATATCATAAATAATTTCATAGATTTCGATCATATTACATTGCATTTGAATTAAATAGGCATTTTAATTTACTAAATTCTTCATGCTGGAATAAAAATGTTTATCATAATACTTGATTTCGTTCGATGACTATCTGTATTAAGAATAAAAGCGTAATAACATTTTAATGTTTTCATGGAAAAGAATGTAAATTATTTTGAGTTGGAGTCTTCTACTTTACTTGCTGATTTACCAAAATTATATGTTATTACTCGTGTCATTAACGGTAATATGCCGGTAAAGGTAAGAGAGAGAAAGGTAACATTTTAGCGATAAAAAATTTTTGTATAATAATAAGGCATTATATTTTCAGCGCACTTGAAAATTTATAAATAAACAAGTTTGCGAAATAATTATTATAAATTGCTAGTCATCTATTAACTGCCGAGCATATTATATGAATTGAAAAATTCAAAAGACAATGACTCAAGAGAACGACGAGCTTTTATTTATGTAATACGTGCGCACAGACAATGCTGAATTTAGATACTGAAATTTTCATTAGCTCTTACATTTTTCCAATGCTTATTCATGAAAAAGAAATAAAATTAACCAAAAGAAAAAATGAAAAAAAGATAACGACGAAAACCATAAAGAAACAAACGTTCGCTCGCTCGCTCGCTCATGCCACGTAAAGGCATATAGTCTTTCAAACATTTATCGCCGAGAAATCGATAACAGATTATTCTGTCATCCCATTATCCGAGACATTATTTTTAAAAGGACGACAAAAACGTCGCAGTCCACTATTACAACAATACGGAAATAATCTTGAATGTCGGAGGCGAATAAAACGCGAGCCGCAATTAGCCGAGAGAAAGTCGTCGGGAACGAGGATTACGCGAGCCGTCTATGTGCATTTACGCGACACTTTCAAATCAACCTTTCACCCCGGAATATATCTCGGGATATTAGATCAAGCGTGTGGCTGGCAAATTAATGATCCTTTGCGCGCAAAGCCGCGTGGAACAATACAACGGAGATTGCATGGCTGGGAACGGAGAGCGGCACTTGGCTTCTTTTGGCGCTGCCCTGGAGGAACAAAGAGTCGACACTCGTCAACTGGCACTTCGGAGGCAGCTGCCACTGTCGGGGTGCAATGGCCCCGAGTTGCTCTTTTGCCCTTTTTCCACTCAACGGCCTTTGTGAAGAGCGACTGTTGCCTCCTCGGCGGTGACTTGCGACGCGAGTGCGAACCGTCCGGACGAGAGTCATTCTCAAAAATGGATCTGCTCGCGTTCACTGCTACTTTATCTTTGTTTTACAATTCGCCATAAAGCGCCCGCCCATGGGGTTTTATCTGTTTTTGCGCAGACGAACTCTGCGAACGTATAGCGCTACTTTATCACTAGTTGGACGTGACTATTGAAGCTTTTGAAAATTGCGACGATGTTATGTATGGAATGGAGGGCAGTTCGAGCAAAGTGCGCTGACATGTGAATGCACGTTACGTCTAACGTCGCGATGAAATATTAATTTAATCTTAGAGAGAGAGAGGGGGGAGAGAGTGGAGAGAGGGGGGAGAGGGGAGAGAGAGAGAGAAGGATAGAGAAGAGAGAATTCAACGACCTTGCGTGAAAGGACGTGTCGTTTACAGACATATGCGCCTGCCTTACAAAACCGTGTTTATTCTACTTAAAATATTTTACGACTTTGGTCGCGTCTCTTATAGCAATATTTTTTAATGTAAAAATGAAATTTCTAAAAAATTATTAATCCTATGTAAGTGATGCGTAACAAGCGATAGTAAAGTCTCAAACATATCCTATATGTGTAGTCTCTACTCCTTAATATTGCCACGAAGCAATCGCGTTTAGGGAAAAGTTCTCAAATAGTTATTTACGCTCGATCTCGTTCGAATTAAAAAATTTATAAATCTTTTCGGCCAACTACAGTACGTTCATTCCGACGATTGGCTCAAATTAATTGAAATTAAAATAAATTATTAAGCATCGTGATACATAACAATTTTTGCGGTTAAACAATTAAGCCATTCTATTCGCGTCGTAAATAACGTCTTAAATAGACCCAATCTTTATTAAAAAAATAGGCTAAAAGGTCAAATCTGAAAAGATGAAGAAAGTTAGTACGTAGCTTCATACGATGCCGTTTAAGATTGAAACATTTTATAATGATGCAAAGAAATAATAGAGCTTAAGAAGCAAAACAAAAGAAAACACAAAAAACACATAAAAACAATCATCCGATAAATAATTATGAAATTTATTCGCACAGAGACAAAAAATTATCCTTTATGACAATTTGAGACAACGACGTAATTAGAAATTTGTTTTAAATTTTTAGAAATAAATTTTCTCTCTTATCACTACAATACCACTCTCTTTATAATATAGTATACGAATAATCATTGGAAGTTAAAAGAAAAGTGTTTCGTCCTACTCTCCATTGGTATTTATTCCAATCCTAATAATATCGATTTAATATTTGTTATTCTCGAGCAATTTTTTCACTCGATGTACATTAAAAATTAAATTTCAAAACTAAGTATACAGCGAATGCATTAAATCTACGTAATGCGCGATAAAATGCGAGTGAAAAATAAATCAAATTTGTTAATTTTGTATGCACAACGAACACAAAGATAAATAGACAATCGCGTATAATGTCTATAAGTGTAATATTTACATAATACAATGATAATAATAACAATAATAATAACAATAATAACAATAATAATAATAATAATAATAATAATAATAATAATAGTAGTAGTAGTATTAGTATTAGTAGTAGTAGTAGTAGTAATAGTTGCTATTGTTATTATTTTTATAGGAGATAATAGTTGAATTTCAAAATAGAGAATAATTGCCATCGTTCTTTCTCACTCTTCATGGACGATGGATTACTGGATAATTTTTATCTGTGCTCTTTATTTTTCACCTTACGATATTTAAAGATGCACAGGTGCGTGAATATACCTGATCGTGCCGAGTACACTAGATGGACAATAAGTAACTTATAAACCCTCGTTGAGAGAGAAAACTAAAACATAAAATTTAACGATATATTGCGTAAATTAATATGTAAAACTTTCCAAACAATTTCTAAAGTTGCCAGGTGAAACGTTCTTTCGTAAAAGTCGCGAAGGAGTTCGGTTAATGGCTAAAATACTTCTCATCTAATCTATTTCCTTATCTATATTGAGCTTACTCAGCTGCAAAGCATAATCAAGTGGATAACTGTAAACTCAATCATAAGTAAGCAAGTATAAGATGAATTTCTGAAAGGTGCACTTGAGATTCTCGGAAAAATGGCGAGGAGCTTCGAAGCCAACAGCTTTGAGCGAAAAACTTTGAGTTAATTATTTTTATCAAAGTTTGCTACATTCGAGGGGCGAACAAAAATTCTTTTAATGACTTTGTTTTTAATGTCTCTGGAGATATTGTGGTGGAAAGGCAGTAAGTGAAACTATTTCTATTTTAGAAAGAAGAAAAAAGGAAAAAAAAAGAAAAGAAAAAGGGAAAAAAAGAAGAAAAAAAAAAGAAAAAGAAAAGAAAAAAAAAAAGAAAAAATAATACTAGCGGCCAGGTTATTAGTTAAACTTGGGGGTGACGCAAAATTCAATTTTCCTGGCGCACTTTAGACTTTCGAGTGCCGTAATAGTACGGTGATTAAGTAAAATCAAATTTTTCAGAATGGAAATC